AAGCAAACACAGGAAGACTGCCAAATCAAAGAGAAAAAGAAATATGGCCCAAATGAAAGAACAGCAAAACTCCAAGAAAAAGACTAAGCAAAAGAGAGATAGCCAACCTATCAGATGCAGAGTTCAAAACACTGGTGATAAGGATACACAGAGAACGTACTGAATAAGGCAAAAGCATAAAGGAAGAAATGAAGCCCACACTAAGTGAAATAAAGAAAAATCTGCAGGGAAACAACAGTGAAGAAAAGGCATCCAAGGCTCAAATCAATGATTCAGAATATAAGGAAGAAATAAACAATCAACTAGAACAGAATGTAGAAACAGAAACTTAAAAAATTAGGAGAGAGCCCTGGCTGGTGTAGCTCAGTGGATTGAGCGCGGGCTGCAAACCAAAGTGTCGCAGGTTCGATTCCCAGTCAGGGCACATGCCTGGGTTGCTGGCCATGACCCCCAGCAACTGTACATTGATGTTTCTCTCTCTTTCTCCCTCCCTTTCCTCTCTGAAAATAAATAAATAAAATCTTTAAAAACAAATTAGGAGAGAATAAGAAGAATCTGGGACATCTCCAAAAGTGCCAATATCCAAATCATAGGGTGCCAGAAGAAGAGGAGGAAGAGCAAGAAATTGAAAATTTATTTTAAAAAATAATAAAAAAACTTCCCCAATCTGGTGAAGGAAATAGACATACAAATCCAGGAAGTACAGAGAGTCACAAACAAGTTGGACCCAAAGAGGTCCACACAAAAACACATCATAATTAAAATGCCAAAGGTTTAAGATAAAGAGAAAACCTTAAAAGCAGCAAGAGAAAAGCAGAGAGTTACCTACAAAGGAGTGCCCATAAGACTGTCATATGACTCTCAAAAGAAACTTTGCAGGTAAGAAAGGACTGGAAAGAAGTATTCAAAGTCATGAAAAGCAAGGACCTACATCCAAGATTACTCTATCCAGCAAAGCTATCATTAAGAATGGAAGGGCAGAGAAAGTACTTCCCAGATAAGGTAAGCTAAAGGAGTTCATCATTACAGAGTCCGTATTATATGAAATGTTAAAGGGATGCATCTAAGAAAAAGAAGATCAAAACTATGAACAGTAAAAAGTCAACAAACACAACTATCAACAACTGAACCTAAAAAAAAAAAAAGTAAACAAACAACTAGAACTGGAACGGAATCACAGAAATGGAGAACACATGGAGGGTTAGCCATGGGAGAAGGAAGGGGGAGAAAGGGGGAAAAGGTACAGGGAATAGAAGCATAAATTGGTAGGTACAAAATAGACAGTGGGAGGTTAAGAATAGTATAGGAAATGGAGATGCCAAAGAACTTAAATGTATGACCTGTAGACATGAACTAAGGTGGTGATTGTAGGGTGGAGGGGAATAAAGGGAGACAAAAGTGGGGTAACTGTAATAGCATAATCAATAAAATATACTTTAAATGGTTATTAAATATTAATTAACATTTTAAATGTTCAAAAGCTACCCAATTCTCTGCTCTTCAGTAAATCCTTAAGAAAACATTGTTTTTCCTGACACCCACACACAAAATGCACCTAACTACCCCCATGCATCCTACCCAGGCACCCCCCATCAGTTAAATAGGCTCAAAATTTAAACTTGTCCCTACATCCATCAAAAGAGAACAAAATGATTAGAAAGATGACTATAGCCCTCAAAATAAATTACCATTTAAAATTTTAAATGCTGAGATTTTACTCAATGTTTTAAATAACATAAATCACAACATCTCCCTTTGATATTAAAAAAAAACACAACAAAGCGTTTATTATCTGTTATTTCAAACACTCATATCAACCAGTAATATTAATAGAAAATGCCATTCTGAAAAGTATCACATTTGACTTTTTATAAGTAGGAAAAACTTACAGAGAGTAAAAATAACAGTGAAAACTACACCAAGGTTAGATGTCAATTTCTACCCTTCACCTTCATGCTCAAGAATTCTAGAACAAACATTGAATTGTGAAATTTGAGTCTGTCCCCAGCCAGAGTAGCAGACTTAATGCACCATTAATCTGGTCTGCTCTCAGCTGCCAATTGAAATAGTCAGTCATTCAATTTTTAAGGAAAAGAGAGCACTGTAGAAGTGTATTCCAGAGGTCTTCTCATAAAAACAATCCTGGGTGCTCCATCTGCATGTGCAATCTGCTGGGGTATTTTCAGCCAGCCTGCCTGGGCGGATTAATGAGTACAATTAGGAAACAACCTCACAGGCATTCAATAAACTGCCTTCATTATTACACTCAGGAGAGTCCCTTTGGATGTCAATAAAAGCCTAGTTTTCTGCCTGTTAGCCAAATAATTGGCAACACTAAAAATAATCCGAAGCAAATGAACGAAGTCAAGAACGAGGTGCTCAGAGAGAGCACATTAGGATTCTCCTGGTGGTGCCCCAAGATGCTATTGTGAGCATTTTCTCTAGCAGCTTGGATTTACGGTCTGCTCAATCCATGCTCACCTTCTCTACAGAAAGAAAAAAACTTTCCTGGTCTGCTCATTGAACCACACGTCACAGCAACAGCATGCTGAAACTGGCAAGGACATGAGGTATTGACTAGTTAAAAAATTTTTCTTAATTGTGTCTCTATTTTGTGTTTTTTGGTTCAACTGCTTCAGGAGAATCTAATTTTGGGGTGTGGGGAGAGAGATGGAGACCAGCCTGTTTGGTCTGGTGAAATCTTTGTGCTATTAAAATTCTAACAGCTCTTCTAGACAATTTTGCCCCATAAACTCACTCTAAGAAGGTATGACCAAGGCTTGTAATCAAGGATCCATCTTTTTGAAGAAGTCCCTTTCATATTTCTAACTATATAATGGCCATTCATTTCATGAACTAATGGTCTTTTAATTTCAAAAGTAGTTCAAAAGCTAAAGTTTAAAAAAAAAACTCATAATACTTCTTGTATTTTTCAATAGGCTTTAAAAATCAATTTCAGATGCTTCTCATTTTTAGCCAACTTCTCTCTTTCCTGGTTAACTGGGACTTTCAGAATAAGCAAAAGAAAGATCAAGAGTGAAATGTGCGTGTAATTGGATTCAGCTCCACTGAAAGTTGTGAAGTAGCTGAGGTTAAAACATTTTTTTTTCACAGACAAAAAGATGATTGATCTCTAGTATTTAGTAAAACACAAATTCAAGAAGCTGGAAGACTATGAAAGAAAGGAGATTGAATGGCACACAATCTGCATGTCCTTTAAAGTTCTCTCTCATCCTTGACCTTGTCATGTTTAAAACTCCAGAAAATGGGCTCATTCAACTTCCCAGTCCTGTGCCTAAAAGCCTCCTTTTTACAGTGTAAAACTAGGATGCCACAAGATGTATATATTTGTTATTCTTTTATCTCTAGGCTACAATTGCCTCATGGTAGTTCCTTATCTCTTTCACTTGCTCTGGTTGGCCTAGAATTAAACTCTCATCCATTCTCTACCCATGAATGGGGCTCAGTAATACAGTAATGCCCTTAATTTATTGCCTCCCTCCTGCTATCTCTGTAAGAGAGAGAATTTCTGGTGTTTAGCTTCCCATCACTCCCTCAATAACACCCCCCTCCCCATGCCTGCCTTAGAAGAGAAGTAGGGAAAGACAGGCTATGGCTGTTATGATTCAAATAAGAGTAATGTTCCTTTTAACTTAGAGAGGAGAATGTCACTCATCTCCCTTTCATCCAAGCCCATATCATCTCCCACTCATTTTCTAGTCTAGGTAGCACAGGCCAAGTACCTACTTGCTTAGGGGCAAAGTGAAGAGCTGAAAAACTTCCTTTCCAGTTTCTACGTCTGATTGTTAAAGCAAGAAAGAACTGCTTACGATTGAGGCAGGATAATTTCAGTGGAGTCAGAAAACCAGAACACTCTGTATTTACAGGAGGAGCATGATTTAGGGTGTTATAAATGCTCACCCCTTAAATTCTGCAAAGGAGATAGAATGATGAGAAGAGAAAAGAGGTGGGAATCAGAGAACAATCCACATGAAAATGGAAGGTAAATGACTAGGTCTTGTGGGCCAGAAATCTCATACAGTCCTAGCAAAATGAAAGTTGTCTGATCCATTGAACAAGGACTTCTATTAAAAGTTTGATTTCAAGTTCCTATAATATTCAGGCACCTTTGTGACCTTTACAGATGATATCTTACTTAATCCTTACAAATTGCCTATGGGGAAGATTATTATCCCCATTTTTTAAGAAAATTGAAGTTCAAAGAGGTTTAGTAGTTTGTCCAGGGTCACATCTGAGAACTGCAGTAAGACTTTGAACCCAGATCTGCTTGGCTTTAATTCCACTCCTTTTGGAATTAACCTTGGGCCAGAGATACGTTCCTTTGGTTTTGTTTAATCTTTTAAGCAATGTGCAGATAATCTAACTACATAGAGTTAGCACACCAGCTTATCTTTAAAGTCTGTGTAACAGAGTACATTACCTAATTATAAAGCACAGGGTAGTCGTACTATACATGTTAACTGCTGTAATTCACAAATCACACTGGAAAAAAGTACCTTGGTGTATAACCACTAATTGGCACTTTTGCCAATAATTGCTAAAAACTTTCTCAATTGTTGTCTATGAAAATACATGTGTGGAATACTCCTCAATCCATTAGGTTAATTTCTAGTTAGTTTAGATTCTGCATGGGTACTTTTTTTTTCAAACACCTTCTTCCTTATGTGAGTGTTTTGGAAGTCAGTATAACCAGAAGTACCCTAAATCTCCAAAGAATCAAGTCTTTCAAGTGATTTATAATGAAGAATTCCTCAAGTTTAGCAGTATTATTTCTAATCAATTGACTAAAAAAGATATTGGTGAACACAAATGTTTCTAACCTGAGAATCTCACTTACAGAATGGAGTTCAATTACATAATTAATATAATAGCCAATTATCCAATACCAGAGGACTGGAAAAGTTAGCATCACCTAGAACTAAAAAGCATAATGAATAATATGCCTATAAAGGTACAAAGTCCTGAAAACATAAACTTACTATTGCTGATGCTCTCTAAATGCTTCTCTTCTGAGGTTTTCTTGAAGTCTTTTTTTCTCCTTTAGTTTTTCACTCTGAAATTTCAAATATAAAATTGTAATTTATTATGGAAACAAATGAGTCATGATATTAAAGTTACCCAAGGGCTAAAACCCTTAGGCTTAATTGGCCTCAATGGTCTAATGTGGTACCTACCAGGGATTCCAAGGCAGTATCCCACTCACAGCCCCTGGGCACTGCAGTGAAATCCAGGAGCCCCAAGTGATTTCATTGACTCCCTGCTTTCAGCTTGATCAGATAATCTCAGACTCCACATTTCACATTTATATTCCTTAGTTCAAACAACAGCAACATTTATATTTTAAGCAGGGTTTTCAAAATGTTCTTAGAGAAACATGAAATTTCTACACCAAGTATGTTAAAATTATAATAAATGGTTAATAGTTTACACAATATTTATATATATTAACACATTCAGGAAAAGACTTTCAATAAACCAACCCAACACCCTTCTGACTTAGAATCAGACACTTAAAGCTGCTGAGAGACTGAACAACATAAGGTCATTAAAAAGCCATCCACTTAAATAGAAAAGAGGTCTCTCTTTTTTATTATAAGTTGCTTATTAGAGACAAAAAAATTCCTATTTAATATTACTGTCACCATGGCTCTGGTATATTTTAATCCAATTTAATAACTCAGAAGAATTGCTTTTTATTCACTATAACACAACTGTCATTTTTTAAAAACTTGCCTAAGAAAAACACGTAAAATTCCTGGACAACAAAGTTAATGGGTACTTGAAACATGTTCTACAGCACAGGAGAGATGTGAAGTTTTAAATGAATCTAAGGAGACGTGAGCAGCTGGGTTTGATTTAAGAAGAAGAACCAGATTTGCCCAGCATGAAGAAGTGTGAAAAGGAACTCATGGAAACCATCACTTCCAAACCCTGATGTAAGTTTGGCTTCACCTTTCAAAGAGAGGCAGAAATTACTCATATTTTTCATTTGTATAAAGCTCTTCATTCACACAGAACTATTCAGTAGTCCTGTTTGAAAGGCAAAGTAGATGATTTCAGTTTCAGAAAAATACAAAGGAAATTTACTAGAACCAACATGAATCAATTTCAGTGTTTTGGAATTATAAACCCAAATAAATATGATCCTAATCTAGAAAAAAAACCTGATTCATGAAACCAAAAGTGATCAATTATGATGTGCTCCCTACATCTGTGAGGGGAAAAAATGTTAAGACACAGCCAGCAAGCAGTAGGCGTTGCTTAAACCAGTATTAGTAATGCCACTTTGAGAATGATGAGGCAAAAAGACACACAAGCACCTAGAGACCAAGGTTGGGTTCCTTTAGCAAGGTCAGAAATTAAAAAGTGGTTTTACTCTCTTCACTAATAAAGTATCACCGAATTCATCTCATGAAAACAGTAGCTAAATTTCATCCAACAAAGGTCTGCTTATTCCTTAGAAGCTTGTGGAAAAGTATTTTTGCAATACTGGAATATTTGAAAAATTGTATCCAATACCTACCAATGTATATGTACCCAAATACTTGGATCTCAGACTTTATCTCTTTCTACTTAACAGTCAGTTAAGGAGTCACCCAAACAACTTGCACATATATCTACAAATGCAGAATTTAAAATATCTAATAACATGAGATCCAGAAGAAAAGATTATAGAATGAGCTTTAAGTTCACTATCACTGACAGGGTGACCTTAAGTCACTTAATATCATTGAATCTCAACAAAAATTTATGAAATACCTATTATATTCTTATACTGTGTTAGAAACTAGGAATGCAGATATGAACAGAGCAGTGACTACTCTGGAAAACAGAAGCTAGCTATGGACATAGACAAGAAAGCAATGATGGCAATATATAAAATATGTTAGAAGATAGAGGTTTGCAAATAGTGCAATATGAACACAGCACATGCATGGAAGTAGGTTGTCAGGAAATGCTCTCAACAGTTCCACAAATGTTCATTTAGTGCCAACTAAGTGTCAGACTGCATCCTTGGCATGACAACCAAGGGGCTGAATGACCCTTGGAATGTGCTCTCTAACCTCGGGTTCAAGGATGAGCTGTATGTTAGAAGCATGTTCATTTTTACCAAGAGTGGACTCATAGCTTTCTTCAGATTCATTCCCCAAGGGACTGGTGATCAAATAAAAGGATGAGAACCATAGGTCTAATGAGAGGTAGAAATTCTACATAGAGATCAATCTTAAACAAGCAATATCTTTCCAGGAGGAGAAGGGGATGATGGGAGTAGGACTACTTACTCCATTGGCCCCCTCATTGCCTAAGCAGAGAGGATAGGAAAGGTTGAAAAAAAGTCAGCTTTCAGCTCACCAAGCCTTGTATCCCAGAATGGGATGCTTCAACACAGCAGAGGTGTCTTCTTCTATTTCTTACAAAGGCACCATCTATCACCAATCTGCATACCCACAGAACTAATTGCCTGGATGGAGAATCATTTCTAATTTGTACAAAGGCAGTGATGGACTGGCAGTGGTCCTCGACAGAAGGAGGGTATTCCCACAGCTTACAGTATTTTCAATGTACAAAGACCTGAGAGAATATTCCAGTTCAGCCATATTCAAGAAGCTCCTGGATTAATTCAAAGGGGTTTGTAGTGAGATGGGTAGAAGCTAAGGTTGAGGAAGTAAAAGGGAGCAATTATAAAGGAATTTGCATGCCAAGTAAAAAGAGTCTTGACCTCATTAAAGTCAATGATAAGCCATTATATTATTTTAAGCATAAAAGTAAACAACTCACTCTGAAAGCATCACAGAGGATGGACCACAAATCTAAAAACCAATGGAGTGATTCCCACAGTAATCCATAAATTATGAGTCCCAGATTAAGACAACAGGGACAGAGAAAAAAGCACAAACTTTAGAAAAATTTAGGGGACAGAAATATTATAACAGGAGGGAAAATGAAATAACAGAAGGTATAACTATATTGATATAGGATGAGTAAGGAAAGAAGAGAGAGTGCAGGATGAATATCATTTAAGAGCATCAGAATGAATATATGAGATCAGTTTTGCAACTATTAGATTTGAGATGTTTGTGGAACATCTAGAGCAGAGGTGTCAAACTCATTTACACTGGGGGCCACATCAGCCTCGCAGTTGCCTTCAAAGGGCCGAATGTAATTTTAGGACTGTGTCAACGTAACGACTCCTTATAGTTAAGCGAGAGATCGGGGCTGCTGCTGGGTAGAAACAAGGTGCCAGGCAAGAGAAAACAAGGTGGAAGGCTGGATTCAGCCTGCAGGCCTTGTGTTTGCCACATGTGATCTAGAGAGAAATATCAAGCATACAGTAAAATATCTGGTCCTGGGATTTAGAAATATGGTCTGGCCTATGATATGGATTTCAGAAATCATCAGCATACACAATAACTAAATCCTTAAGTGTGGGAATGTGGAAATATGGGGGCTTTCACTTAAGAATAGGGCAGTATAGGCACAGGGATATTAGAGAAGACCAAAGGATGGGACCTGATAGAACATCAATAGTAGAAAAACAAGAAAAAGAACCCAGAAGCATTCTAGAGAGATGGAATTTAAAGGACACAGTTTTTTATTGTTACAACATTACAAAGAGTTTCAATAAGTTAGGAATTAAAGAGTCTCCATTCAGTTTTTGGATTAAGAGCACCATTGGTGATTTTGGCTAGATCAATACAAGTGAAGTACTAGAGGCAGAAGGCAAATTCAGCCCACCAAGGAAGAAGTATATAAAGGCAAGGACTCAAGAACAGCGATCCTGAGAAATAACAAAGTTGAAGGAATCATTATGCCTAATACCAACTACACTATAAGGCCATAGTAATCAAATCAGCATGGTACTAGCATAAAAATAAACATATAGATCAATGGAACAGGATAGAGAGCCCAGATATAAATCTACATCTCTACAGTCAATTAGTATTCAACAGAGGAAGCAAGCACAGACAATGGGCTAAAGATAATTTATTCAATAAATGGTATTAGGAAAATTGGACAGATACATTCAGAAAAATGAAACTAGACAATCTTCTTATACCACACACAAGAATAAATTCAAAATGGATCAAAGACTTAAATATTAGACCCGAAACCATAAAAATCCTAGAAGAAAACATAGACAGCAAAATCTCAGACATCACTCATAGCAACATTTTATCAGACGTATCTCCTCAGGCAAGGAAAACAAAAGGAAAAAATAACACATGGGACTACATCAAACTAAAAAGTTTTTGCACAGCAAAGGAAATCAACAAGATAAAAAGACAACCCACAGAATGGGAGAACGTATTTACTAATACATCTAATAAGAGGTTAATATCCAAAGTTTATAAAGCACTTACAAAGATCAACACCAAAAAAACAAACAACCCAATTGAAAAATAGGCAAAGGACCTCAATAAACACTTCTCCAAAGAGAACGTACAGATGGCCAATAAACATATGAAAAGATGCTCAACGTCACTAAACAGAGAAATGCAAATGAAAACCACAATGAGATATCATCTCACACCTGTCAAAATGGCTTTCATCAATAAATCAACAAACAAGTGCTGGCAAAGACATGGAGAAAGGAGAACTCTCTTGCACTGTTGGTGGGAATGCAGACTAGTGTAGCCACTGTGGAAAACAGTAGGGAGATACCTCAAAAAAAGTAAAAATGGATGTGCCTTTTCACCCAGTGATCCCACTCCAGGGAATACATTGGAAGGAACCCAAAACACTAAATCAAAAGGACATAAGCACCCAGTGCAGCAACTGCAGCATTATTTACAATCACTAAGATATGGAAGCAGTCCAAGTGTCCATCAGTAGATGAGTAGATAAAACAACTATGGGACATTTACACAAAGGAATACCACTCAACCATAAAAAAAGAAGAAAATTTTACCTTTTGTGATAATATGGATGGACCTGGAGAACATTATGCTAAGTGAAATAAGCCAGGCAGTGAAAGACAAATACTAAATGATCTCACCTATAAGAGGAACCTAATGAACAAACAGAACTAACAAGTAAAATGGGGACTCATAG